GTGCACGAAGTGTCACCCAGGAAGGTGACATCGTCCGCATATGCCAAGCAGAGCACGTTGGGGTGTGCCACTGTAATCTCGCGGAGCGTGGGGTGTATTCCCGTGTCGTAATACTAGTACAATAGGTAGTTAGGAGAATAGGCCGGCCTAGGCTTAGTAGCCTAGGCCAAGGAGGATCGAGTTGGTTGTGCCAAGGGTGTCGAGAGGATTTGGGAAGATTGTGGTGTTCACTATAGATTTGCAATCACATATATGCAAGAGAACAAAGGTGCACCACCTAACACAGTTTGTAATAACTACACTAACTACAGCTACTGGCACTTCCAGATATAAACTCTGACATCCCACTGCAAACAGTAACGGGCCTAGTGGATCACCCTGCCAAACGCCCCGTTCACTTTGCTGTGGTTCGCTGTTGAAATCAGAGTCGAGGAACAGCTGCGACGGGTTACCGTACGTCAGTTTTACAAATGGCTGTAGTGGCGAGAGTCCGGGCTCCTATAACGCAGTGGCGATGGCATGTCGCGAAATGCTGTTGAATGCGTTCGATATATCGGCTTGCAGGACCAGGCTGTTGGGACGGGCATCCAAGAAAGCCCTGGCTGCGTGTATTACTGCCTCAGCTCCACCTGGCACTGCCACGCCGTACTGAATTGGCAGGAAATGTTCGCGTGCAGCTTCTCCCATGGCTATCAGGGCTGCCTTGGCCGTCAGCCTTGTCAAGCATTCGCCTATCGCAATTGGCCGGGCTCCTCCCCCAGGCTTGGCCAGAGCTATGAGCCGTGACGCGGTCAGGATTTTTGCGACCGGGCCTGGCAAATTCCCTCCGAGAATGGTATTGACCAAGGCATGCAGATGGGTGCTAACCATTCCGTTGGTGATCGCCGCGTCACGTAGGTGCTCAAATGTCGTACCCGAAGGTCCGGCCCCTACCCCGTTCTCGCACATTCCAAGAAGCTTGGAGAACTCAGCATGAGTGATGGAAAGTTTTGACTCTGGTGGCTCAGGCCAGGTCACTGCTTCGGGTACTGCTGGCGGGTGCTTCTGTCGCAGCTCTTCTAATATTTCCTGGCTCGGGGTGCAGACGGGTGTTGACTCCAGGGCCAGCACGGCCCTGCGTAGGCTGCCACGTTTCGCCAGGCCCTCGGCTCAGCTGATGACTCCGGTCGTGTCAGGCTGGTGTCGTGGCAGTGGGGGTGTGTTGACCGCGTCGACTGCGTTCTGGTATAGCTGCCCCCATTCGCCGCGCTGAAAGGCTCGGAGCTGGGCTTTGACCCACGGCCAGTTCGGTCGTTGTGGCGAGGTTTGGCGAAGTGTTAGGCGCGGGAGGAACAGCAGCAGGCGCCAACCCTCCTCGGATTCAGGGTTTCGCGATAGGTGGAGTAACGGTGTCAGAAGCGCTAGCGAGAACAGTTGGCACATATTAGGCGGTAAACGACGTGTTAGCGAAGGTTGGCGACTATCGCAGAGTGCCGCGATGTCCCAGCTCGAGATTGTTGCGAACAGGTCTGCTCTCTTCGCCAGTTCGTCAGAGGAAAAATAGCGGGGTGTCGAAGTGGTTTGGCGCGTCGCGACATTGGGAGTAGCGGTCTGATTTCGTCGAGCGCGACCCGTCCGCCCTGGCAGGATTGGGGTTGGAATTTCACCTGTTCGATTGGCATCGGACAGTCGCTGAGCCGCCTGTGCTGCTTGCGTGGCCAAGAGCCCTACCCGCGCTACTCCTCTTCCCGCTGCCTCCCGTGTACTGCCTTCGTCCTCGGTCCCCTCGTCTTCGCTTGGAGGGAGGGATTCTTCCCTATAAGGTGGGTCCCTTATCTCGTCATCCTCATAATCCTCATTAGTTGCCTCCAGAGCCCTTAAAGCCCTGCGCCCCGCCGCTTGGTACCCGTTTTCCGGACCTCCGCCTGCCCCGCTCGTAACCTGCCTCCTGGCCCCGCTGCCTCCCCGATCTCCAGATGGTGATTGCCGGTGCATCTGAGCCATCGCCAGTGCGCGCTGCCGTCTGGTCGGCTGTGGTCGCCCTGCCTCAGTCGGGGCCCGGAAAGGCGACCATGCCGACGGAGCCCCCTGAACCGCCGGCTCCGACGCCCTCGACAACAGTCGCAGAAAAGACTCTTCCCCACGCACCCGCGGATCCCCTTGCCGTGTTGGGAGCTGGCCCGTCTGTTCCTGCGGCTGCTCTTGGACCTGGGGCGCCCGTTGCTCCGCCTGCTTCCGTCCCCGACGCGCCGGCACCGGCTTCTGTTTCGTCGACGAATGCGGCGTTCGCCACCACTGGCGGCCCGGCTCCGCCGGTTGCGCCTTTAGCGGCGGCGCAATCCGCGCCTGTTGCGGCGACAGTGGACCCGGCTGGTCAGCCGGTGCGCCCCCCGTCGCCTGATCGCCGATCGTCTCGCCCTCATTCCCCCTCGCCTCACCAGGATCGCAAGTCGTCTCGTCGCCGTCGTGATTCTCCTCGGCGACACCAGCAGCAGCGTGACTGGCCTGCTCGCCCCGGTGGTCAGGGGGACTGGAGGGGTCCCCGCGGGCGCGGTGGGGGGTACCGCCCGCCGGTGACGATGGCCGATCTTCAGCGGGAAGTCTCCCAGACTGTTCGCGAGGAGAGGGCGGCGCAGAGCCAGAGCAGATCGCCGCGGGCTGCGCCGGCGCGCGTGGCTCCTCGTCCGCCTGTGCCTCTTGTAGTCCCTCCGCCGACCGCTCTATTTCCTTCCCCTGTCCTCGTCCCGTCTGCTCCCTCTCCCTCTGTAGCGGCGCCAGCTCCCGGCTCTCGTCTGCATCTGCCGACGGTTCCGCCTGTTGCGGGGGTGGAGTTTGTGGCCGCGGGTGGTGGCGCGGCAGTGGCTCAGTATGGAGCTGATGAGCCGCTCCAATTCCTGGCGGAGGCGCTTCAGCCTCCGCAGACGCGTGTTCCCGGATCGACTCTCGGGCAGCTCCACCGCCTCGCCGAGAGTCTCTACGCGTTGCTGCTGATACAAGTCCTTGCTCACTCCTCACTCCCTGTGGTCCCTCCTGAGACGTTTCGCGACCGTCCGCGCGAGACATGCTTGGATGCGGCGGACCAGCTCGCCGTGCTGCTGGCGCCCGTGCTGGCTGCGCCCGCGGAGGGTGGCGCTGCTGCTGCGGGACAGCTGGACGAGGCTGTCCGGAGCTTGAAGCGGCATTTGCGCGCTGGATCTGGAGCCGCGGCGATCGGCGCAAGTACGCTGGTGGACCGGGAGCTGTGGCGGACCCTAACTGGCATTCTCCATGCCCTTGGAGCACACCGGATGTAGATCCGGCCTCCGCTTGCCCCTGTGTTGCCATTAGTGCTTAGGATTGTGTTGATGCCGCCATAGTTTGTATGACGTTGCTTGCAGTCAATCGTGGTGTCTTTGCCACCCCTCACGCGCGGCCGAAGGCCGCGCTGTCGAGCGTCGGCCGCCGAAGGCGGCCGGCGCGAGCCGCTCGGATAGGAGAAACAAATGAAAAGAGAACCGAACAATGAAGAGAGCTAGCTGCAGAGGAGCACTTTATACTAGGCCGGAGAGTGCTGGAGAGGCTAAGGACTAGCTCCTAGGGCCTCTCTCTCTCTCTCTCTCTCTCTCTCTCTCTCTCTCTCTCTCTCTCTCTCTCTCTCTCCTCTCTCTCCGCTTGGTTAGGAGAAACAAATGAAAAGAGAACCGAACAATGCAGAGAGCTAGCTGCAGAGGAGCACTTTATAGTAGGCCGGAGAGTGCTGAAGAGGCTAAGGACTAGCTCCTAGGGCCTCTCTCTCTCTCTCTCTCTCTCTCTCTCTCTCTCTCTCTCTCTCTCTCTCTCTCTCTCTCTCTCTCTCTCTCTCTCTCTTATTCTCTTTCTCTGGTTTTCTCTATCTCATTCTCTTTCTCTCGTTCTCTCTCTTTCCTCCTTTCCTCTTCCTAAACCCGTTTCTCATGAGCTTTGCTGGTCATGATGGCGATTTCAATCTGGAAAAAAAATGTTTTGGCCACGTATAGGATTTATCATGTCATCATTTTTGTTGAGTGCAATACATAGTTTGCATGACAACCTACAGCCTATTTGTCGACGTTGAGTGAAAGTGAGGTGTTCCGTCTGAACTTAATTTGTTGTGTGTGAGTTGCGCATTTCCGTGCCTTGCGTTTCTGTGTTTACGGCTCGTGAATCGCCTCAACGGTTCATGAGTTGTGTGCGTTTTTCGTGAAAGGCTGCGTTCATGAGAGTTCGTTAATGTCTGTGTGCCAATGCGAGACTTCGTGCGCATTTGCGTTGTTTCGTGAGTTGTCATGAGTGTGCGTTGATTTTATGTTCGTGATTTTTTTTGTTTGTGAAATTCCGTGAGGGTCGTGTGTTGTTCATGAATGTTTGTGAGCGTCATGGTTGTTTCTGTTTTTCTGTTTTCGTGTGTGTTCGTGAAGAGTCGCGAGTATTCGCGAGGATATTTTCCGTGCTGGTCAAAGGTCAAGAGCGCGGAAATCTTGACCCGGGCGGTGGGTCCTGATCGTGCGTGTGGGCCCTCAGGCCCGCGCGTGTGCCTTCGCACTGTTGCGAGCGTGGTATGGCCCACGATCGCAACAAGACTGGGCGAATGATCGTCCTGCCCACACTGTACACCTGATGCTCGTTAGAGCCCCCCCCCGGTTGCCTTGTGCTCTGGGACTATAAGCTAAAACTCATTTCGCCAGAGGTTCGTTCGTTTCGTCACGCGTATCCCGTGCCTCTAACCCGCAAATGGTTACCTCACCTTTTGTTTGTTTTGTAACTAGGGGGGTTGCCGTGCGTGTCTCCTTCGTGTGTTCAATGTTACTACACGACCACTACAGTAATGAATCAGGCGTGCACATCAATTATTCCTCGAGGTGAGAAACAACTAACACAACATAGACATCCAATCAACAACTCCCACCTGGCCCCCCATAGCAACACAACACACGAAACGAAACACACTGAAATGGGCACAATGTTTGATCACTGGGGCCCTGCAAAATTCACTCGACACTTTGCTCTTGCTGCTCCACCCCCTCTCACAGACGCATCCATTCAGCTGCATCCACATAGCCGTCCATCACGGTGCCCACCCCGGCATCAAGCAGCTGCTGACGGCGGGACGGGCGGGTCATCCAGTCGGGCAGCACACGGCCCCGCGGACGAGGGGTCTCGGGAGTGGGGGTTGCGCCGGGGGAGGGTACGGGCTGCGGCGCCACGTTGAGATTGAATCCCGGGCTCGCCCGCTCCATCCGCGCGATTATGATTGGATTGTGGATGTCGAAAAGAGCGCACAGATCGCGCGGAGTGATGCGGGTGGCCCGGGCATAGCCGATGAGCATCTCGCACGCCGCACGAGCAGTGCGGCGCGCTTCACGGCACACGGGGTCGGGGTCGGCGTCGTCGTAGACGGCCTGCATGGTCGTCGGCGCCTGCCAGAGCTCCACCTCCAAGCGCATCTCTTCCTCTGTCACGGGCGGGTGTGCCGTGCCTTCCGCACACGTGGGCTCCGCGTCCTCGATGGCGACGTATTCCGCCGCCGTCATTGCCGCATCCCCGAGGGCGAGCCTGTTAATAAGCGTCCCGACATCATCGATGTCATCGTCGAGTTCGATGTCGGGATAAGCTGCGGGGATGGGCTCGTCGTCATGCACGTGCGGCAGCTCCAGTGACCACGAGAGGGGAAGACACCCCGTGCGCCACCAGCACCGTTGAATGGTGCGCGCGCCGACGGAGGTCCACGACTCCGACAGCCACCCGAGCACATCTCGCAGATTCGGCCGGAATCGAGCGACCGCGGAAGTCTCTCCGTCGGCGTTCCATAAACCCGAGAAGGCCCGCAGCCAATGCTGGCGGTAGCGGGCCTTCGCGGTGGCGATTATGCCCTGGTCAAGCGGCTGAGTGAATGCCGTGGTATTGGGCGGCAGGAAGACAAGCCGCACGTGGCTCATGCACGTGGTCCTGACGTCGCACACGATCTCGCTCCATGCATCTTGAGAGCGCAGCATGTGGCTGCTCGCGTTGTCCAGCAGCACCACTATTTTGCGACCCTCGGCAAACATCGCCGCGTTGAGATGAGTAATGAAATGCGTGAATAACTGTTGGACGGGATGGCATGGAAGAAGGGGGCACGGTCGGCATCATCGTGAGAACAGACACATGAAAAAATTGCGCTAAAAAGCAATGAGAGTCAAAAATGTGCACATAGAACGCAAAGATGCTTACTGGCGAGGTCATGCAGCCTTTGGCGTTATGGCGCCAGTAGCATAGCGCCTCAGGGTCGTAGTCGGGCCGGAAGTCATGCGGCCTCTTCGCCTTGCTGATCACAAGCGGCCAGAATGCATGGCTACCGTCCGCATTCACGAGGAATGCGACGGTCAATCGCTCCTTCGAGACCTTGCGGCCTGGTATGCGGCCGCTGCTGTACGTGCGCCGCGGAAGCACCGACAGCCAGAGAGCAGTCTCGTCGAGGTTGAAGGTGTCCCGCGGGGCGACGCCGAGCTGCGTGAGGAGTCGCGGCATCTTCTCACGGGCGTCGCGCACGGCCGCCATATCTGCGCTGGCGGCCTCGCCCTGTGCCGCACGGCATCTCACGCCCTAGCGCCGCAATGCACGGCGCACCCAGCCGATCGAGCATCGGAAGGTGGGCGGAATGCCCATGTTCCTGGCCATCGCCGCGACATGGTCGCGGATGGTTTGGAGTGTGAGGGGCACACCGGCGGGTCCTGCGTTTGCTATCCACCGCCCCATGGCCTGCTCCAGCTCAGGCCAGGCGCCTCCCCGACGGCGCACCGGGTTGTCGCCGTCGGACGTCACAGCCCATCGCTCGGCGGTTTTTAGGATGCGGCCGATCGTAGAGCGATCCGGGCGCAACCCGTACTGAGAGAAACACCATCGAGCTAGGTCGACATGGCGCAGGACGGGGTGTTCGACGTGGTGCGCGCAAATGGCGCGCTTGATGTGGAGCGGCAGCTGTTCCCGTCGATTAAATCGGGGCATTGTGTAAGGATGAGGTGAGTGAACTAACTGTCTTAGTGAAATTGTTGTTCACATTTTATCCTGAGTTCGAATTCACCTGGGACAAGGTTGGGGTCTGTTCTTTGGGGCTTGGAACTGTACGTGTGGTTGGAGTTCGTTCCATGCACCTGGCTTGCACATTTGACGTTTTAAGTTGGTAACCTTACGTTCAATTGTCTGACGTGGTGTATGAGAACAATGCCTGGCTACAATAACGCTTGTACCCAGCACAGGCAGATTACACGTGGGATCGTGAATTTGCCCACGTTGTCTGTTACACGCACAATGATCCGTGCCTAGGTGCCTAGGTAGCGGGGGTTTCCTGCTCGGGGGCAGCGTTTCCATCCAGTGCATGGCAATTTCGCGTGCATGGGGTGAGCATCAGCTGTACAGCACTATATCGGTCGTGCATGATTGCAGTCGTGGGGGTGCTCGCGATTACGGTTGAAAAACGGTATCCCGCGTTGACTCGACTTACAGATAACTTCGCTGGAAAGATTGCGCGCGTAAAGGGACAATTTCGATACAGGAGAAAAACGGTGAAGACCGTTTTTCAATTGTGAGACTTCGTGAAAATGGTAATCTCACACGAGTGTCTATGATTGCGCACGAGAAGTCGCGAACGTTCACGAGGGGAGTCAGCAAGGGAATTTGGTAGACATGAAATTTGAAGACAGTAATTCAACAGGGGAGAACCAGGCCAAATTTCGAAGCAGTTCGACAACCGTTTTCCTTGGCGCATTTGGCGAAGTCCTGAAGTATAGTTAAACAACTGCTCTATGCTTTCTTATGCTTGTGTGCTAAGCGAAATATAAATGCGTGCTTGCGTTCAGTTGTGATCAATCCTTTTGAGTGAAGTTTTTCTCTATCATCATATTGACGTCAAGAGAACTTTCTGCACACAACCAGTTCATTGTTATAACGTTGCGCAAAGAGCTTTGGGAATGCTCTGACGCACGCTTTTGTTTTCATACTTGGCGTGTCCCTCGACATAACACGGACCCTTGGATAGGGGCTGGCCTTGCCAGGCACCCAAGGACCCTTGGAGGTGACCCCGTGGGGACTGTTAAGTGTGAATTAAAGGTGTGGTTACTAGCTCCTATATCCCAATAGTAGTCATCAATTTTAACGTTGATTTGCATTTAATTTATTATCGCTTGTTTATTTGCTGGGTTTGCTTTGTTGTTTAGGATCCGTCACTTTGAGAACTTACGACGAACTCATTACTCAATTAAACGCAAATCCGCTCGGTAGGATTGTGCGCCTTAGGCTTAGCTACCATCTCCAAGTTGAATCAGTCGTTAAGATGGTCTAGAGAGTGAGATCCATGTAAAAACGTCCAGCAGCCGCATAACTAGAATGGTGGGGGAAGTACAAGCATGTAGGCATAGAAAGTTGGAGTTGGGAACCTCCAAGAGAACCATGAGAGGGAAGGGGTTCTCCAAGAGCTAGGGAAGGATGGTAGGAACCTTCCTAGCAGCAAAGATGCAACCCTCATCATGAGGTCCTTGAGGTGTCACATGCAAAATCCAATCTAGTTGGATTTTGCCTAGGTGTTGCAACATTTGCAACCCATGCTAGAAACTTCTAGCCACCCCAATCCAAAAGTCAAAGTTGCCTTCCCTAACCACCCAACCAAAGATCCCTTTATATTCATGTCCCAAGTAATCACCCAAATTAGATATAACCCCAAAAGGTAATAAGAAATCCAAGTTTTGGAAATCTTGTAACTTGGGCGATCTTGGTCGGAATAAGGCGATCTTGGTATCGTTGGAAAGCTCTGGATTTCTCCTGCATGATCAAGCATTTAGACTTGGAGAAAAAAAACACAGAGATGACAATATCCAACAGCCATGCATAATGACATATGCTCATGCAAATCATGCAAGCACAAATAGCACGAGCACTCGGCAGGACGTTAGGATGACATGCACTCAGAATGACGTGCATCCAACATGCCGGTGTTCGTGTTTTTTATTGTGTGAATGTGTTTGCTTGTGTGAGTGCATTCATCTCATTTATCATTGCAATAATAATGCATGTCTGTCAATTTTAAAAAAAAAAGAGGTTCAATTCTATCATTTCTCATTGGTTCATTGGCGCACTCAGTAACTCGTATGTTTGCCACTTCGAACTGGATTTCATAGAGTGAATCTCTTTTTTAGAGTTAACAGATTGTATTGTTTCATGTGGTAGTTGATTATTCAAAAACTTTGCTATTGACTTCCCCCCATGCTAGGCAGGGGATGCGGTAGCCTAGTTTTTGGGTCGTTAACTATCACGCATTTCTATGATATACTGGTGTGGTGCATTTCAGCATATCACGTGCATTAAAAAAAAAAAAAAAAAATCATGCGTATATCCGTATTATGCACCTATATATCTTGCCTCATCATTGTCAGACTTATATGACTTAGCCTGTGTAGGCTATAGTGGGGTAGCACATATGGGGTACAACACATTTCTAGGGTTTGTACTTGTACCCAACCCTTTCCTCTAGTAAAACCATTCCTCATTTCTTCACATTGTATAGAGCAGGTTCCCTAGTAAGAACGCTTCCTAGGGCCCACAGCTGAAAATCGATTTTTTTTTTTTTCTAAACCGGAGTGCGAGTCGCCCCTGCCCGAGGCGCGCCCCGTGGGCCGCCCTCTCGTCGCGTCCCCTGCCCTTAGCGGCCCGTCGCGCCCTCCTAGAGGCCCCTCTCACGGCCCCTCGCGCCACCACTAGCGGCCCCGTCGCCGCCCTTCGCGGCCCGTCGCCGCCCCTCGCGGCCCCGTCGCCACCCCTAGCGGCCCCGTCGCCACCCTTCGCGGCCCCATCGCCGCCCCTAGCGGCCCCATCGCCGCCCGTTACGGCCCCGTCGCCGCCCTTTGCGGCCCCGTCGCCGCCCCTAGTGGCCTAGTCGCCGCCCTTTGAGGCCCCTCGCGGCCCCTTCGCGGCCCCGATGCCGCCCCTATTGGCCCCGTCGCCGCCCTTCGCGGCCCCGACGCCGCCCCTAGCGGCCTCGTCGCCGCCCTTCTAGGCCCCTTGCGGCCCCTTCGCGGCCCCGTCACCGCCCCTAGCGGCCCTGTCGTTGCTCTTCGAGGCCCCTCGCGGCCCCTTCTCGGCCCCGTCGTCGCCCTTCGTGGCCCCGTCGCCACGCTTACCGGCCTCTTCTCGGCTCCTCCGAGACCAGCAGCAGTCGCCTCCAGCAGAAGCCGCCGCCGCCGCCGCCAGCAGCAACCGACAGCAGCAGACGCCGCCGACAGCAGCGGCGGCCGCCACCAGCAGCAGCCGTCACCGCCGACAGCCGCGACTGCCGCCGCCATTTACAGCAGGAGCTGCCGCCGCGGTCGCGGCTCTGTCCCTGCCGACGCGCCTCGGCCCTGCCACACCGCTTGCCGGCCCCTACCTACCAGCCCTGGTAAGAGCACTGCCGAGCCACGCCTGCTACTGCTGCCCCTAGCCTGCTGCCACTGCTCTCATGGCCACCCCTAGCGTTCTAGTCTTTGATGCTGAGGGTCGGGCTGTTGACTTTGAAGTCTGGGTCGATGATCTACAGCTTTTCCTACAGTGCGATAGGAAAGACGGTCTCTCACTGTTCGATCCCACGTCCGGCGCCTCTGCTGCCCCTGCTGCCGATGCTGACAGCACTATTCGCTCACAGTGGGCCACACTGATGCTCCTGCGTGTCTTGCTGTGCGTAGTCACTTGCCGTCCACTGAGCGCGCGCACTTTAGTCAGTACAAGAGTGCTAAGACCTTGTACGATGCTGTAGTTGCACGCTACTCTTCCCCTACCATTGCTGCCCTTAGCCGCCTCATGCTGCCGTACCTGTTTCTTGAACTCGCCGCCTTTCCCACAGTCGCTGACCTCATTACGCACCTTCGCACTAGTGACACCCGCTACCGCGTTGCGCTTCCTGCTGAGTTCTGCGCCAAGAACCCCCCCCCCCCCCCCCCATGTACATCACCCTCTACTACATAGTCACCCGGCTCCCTGACTCCCTTCGCTCGGTCAGGGACCACTTCCTCTCTGTTTGCCCCACCACACTCACCGTTGACCTCCTCGAGGAGCGCCTCTTGGCAACTGAGAAAAGAATAGTCGCTGTAGGAGCCTCTTGTGGTGACCCTCGTGCCCCCTTCTTTGAGGGGTGCTCCCCCTCCCCCCTTTTGCCCTCTGTTGCCTCTGCTGCTGCCATCGATTTCGTTGGCACCGAGTCGGTCGGCGTTGCGTCTGCCCCTAACGGGAGACGCCGCACCGGCAAGGGCAAGGGGGGCAAGGGCGCTGGCGGGGCTGGCGGGGGCGGTGGAGGTGGGGGTGGAGGCGGCAGAGGGAGTGGGGGTGGCGGTGGGAGTGGTGGCGGGGGTGGGGGCTTCGGTGGAGGCGGTGGAGGCGGAGGCGGCGGCGGCGGTGGTGGTGGGAGCAAAGGAGGAGGCGGTGGCGGAGGTGGCAGCGGTGGAGGTGGAGCTGGAAGGGGTGGCTCTGCGCAGCAGGGCGGCTTTGGTGGTGGTCATCGCCAGCAGCAGCAGCGCACTCGTGAGACCCCGCCCCCCCAGCAGCTTCGTGAGTGGTACGCTGCGCGTCAGCGGGGTAGGGGTGCTGGTCCTTGTGCCTACGTCCTTCGTACCGGCGACCGCACTGGTGAGCCAAGCGGTGGCCCGCACACCACCCAGCGCTCCTTCGGCCGCCTGACGGATGCTTGGCGTCTCCAGTTCCCTGACGCCACTGAGATCCCCCGCTAGGGCGAGCTGCTTAGGTTGGGGGTTGCTATCTTTGATCTAGATTATGATGCCATTCTTGCTGCCATGTATGTTGTGTCTACTAGTGATGAGGGTGACTGTTACATGTGTGTTCCGCTTGACTTGGGCATTGAGGCTGCTGCTCTAGGTGCTGGTGAGGCTGCTGCTCTCGGTCCTAGTGCGTCTGCTGCCCCAGGTGCTGGTGAGTCTGCTCTCTCAGGTACCACGTCGGCTCAGGCCTTACACACCTTCACCCTTGACTCGGGTGCTTCCCGCTCCTTCTTTCGAGACCGCACCACGCTTTCGCCGCTTAGTCGGCCAGTTGCGGTCTCCCTAGCGGACCCCTTTAGGGGTCCTTGTCAAACATTATACATGTTATGCTTGTGTAGGCTACAGTGGGTTAGCCTATAGGGGGTACACAATTCTAGGGTTTACTACTTGTACTCATTTCACTTCTAGTTCATCCATTCCTCTTCGCTTATTCTCACATGGTATAGAGCGGGTCCTTCTACGGACCGTTTTTTTTGGGCCCACAAAAGCGCCCCCCGAGGCGCGATTTTTTTTTTTTTTTTTTTTTTTTTTTAGCGACCCCTCGGGTTGTCATTTCCCCTGCGGCCCCGCCGCCTTCACTGACGCGGCCCCGCCGCCCTCTCTGACGGGGCCCCGCCGCCGGCCCTTACGCGGCCCCGTCGCCGGCTCTCACGCGGCCCCGCAGCCGGCTCTGTCGCGGCCCCGCCCCGGCCTTTACGCGGCCCCGCCGCCTGCTCTCACGCGGCCCCGCCCCGGCTCCTTCGCGGCCCCGCCGCCTGCTCTCGCGCGGCCCCGCCCCGGCTTCTACGCGGCCCCGCCCCGGCTTTCACGCGGCCCCACCGACGGCTTTGTCGCGGCCCCGCCCAGGCCTTTACGCGGCCCCGCCGCCTGCTCTCACGCGGCCCCGCCCCGGCTCCTTCGCGGCCCCGCCGCCTGCTCTCGCGCGGCCCCGCCCCGGCTTCTACGCGGCCCCGCCCCGGCTTTCACGCGGCCCCGCCGACGGCTTTGTCGCGGCCCCGCCCAGGCCCTTACGCGGCCCCGCCGCCTGCTCTCACGCGGCCCCGCCCCGGCTCCTTCGCGGCCCCGCCGCCTGCTCTCGCGCGGCCCCGCCCCGGCTTCTACGCGGCCCCGCCCCGGCTTTCACGCGGCCCCGCCGACGGCTCTGCCGCGGCCCCGCCCAGGCCCTTACGCGGCCCCGCCGCCTGCCCCCGTCGCGGCCCGGTCGCCTCCTGACGGCCCCGCCGTCCCTTCGTGACAGCCCCGCCGTCCCTTCCTGACGGCCCCGCCGTCCCCTCCTGACGGCTCCTGCCGTCCCCTTCTACCGGCCCCGCAACTGCACCTGCTGGCCCCGCCACTGCACCTACCGGCCCCCACCACCCCCCCCCCCCTTTTCCCGTCGCCCGTCGCGGCTCCTTCGGGGGCGACGACAGGCGACGGGAGAGGCCAGCAGAGGGGTGGCAGGTGTGTGGCCTCCCCTGCTTCTCCTCCTCCTTCATCTCCCACTGCAGCAGCCGAGCCGCTCACCTGCAGCAGCCGAGCCGCCCCACCGCCGAGCCGCCCTGCACCCGAGCCGCCCAGCAGCCGAGCCGCCCTGCCGCCGAGCCGCCGGGTCGCTGAGCTGCTGAGCTGCAGTTGCTGCCGAGACGCCCGAGCCGCCGAGCCGCCGAGCTGCCGAGCCGCTGAGTCGCCGGCCTACCCTTCCCACCACTGGTGAGCTCTTGCCCTGCTAGCGCGCTGCGCGTCGCCTGCTTGCCTGCCTGCCTGCCTTTTGGCTTGCCTGGCTGCCTGCCTTCCTGCTGCTAGTCCTGCTCCTGCTTCTACTTGCGGAGCCAGATGCAGCCCCAGCGACGCCTGCGTGAGTCCCTCACGCCCCAGCAGCTGCGTGAGTGGTACGCTGGTTGGGGCTGTAGGGGTGGCGACGCTACTCCTACTACCACTCCTGCTGCTTCTACTCGTGGTGGCGGCTAGATGCAGCTCCCGCGACCCTCTCGCGTGTCTCTCACGCCTCGCCAGCTTCGTGAGTGGTACGCTCAGAGTGGAGGGTCTCTCAGTGCTGTTCGCTGCTCTTACGTGATTCGCACTGGTACTCGGACTGGTCAGCCTTGTGGGACACGTAGTCATACACAGTCCCGCTGCTTCGCCCGTCTGAGCGACGCCTGGCGTACCGTGTTTGGCGACGAGGCTGAGCTTCCCGACTGGGTGGAGTTGCTTAGGCAGAGGGTAGATATATATGCTCTTGACTATGATGCTATTCTCACTGCCATGTATGCATTGCCTACTAGTGCTGACCGTGCCGGTCACCTGTGCGTCCCGCCTGACCCAGGTATAGGACCTGCTGCTCTAGCTACTGGTGAGGCTGGTGCTCTGGGTGCTAGTGAGTCTCCTGCTCCAGGTACAGGTGCGGCTGCTGCTCTAGGTGCTAGTGAGTCTGCTTCCTCAGGTGCGGGTGAGGCTGCGCTCTCAGGTACCGCGTTAGCTTCGGCCTCCCTCACCTTTACACTTGACTCTGGGGCTTCTCGCTCCTTCTTTCGGGACCGCACCACACTCACGCCGCTTGGTCGGCCGGTTGCTGTCTCCCTGGCTGACCCTTCTGGGGGTCCTGTCCTCGCTCACTTCTCCACTGTCCTCCCGTGTCCGGCTGCCCCCTCGGGCACCCTGTCTGGCCTGTACCTCCCCTCGTTCTCGACCAACTTGGTGAGTGGTGCAGACCTACAGGATGCGGGGGTTCACCAGTTCACTCCTGCGAGTCAGCGGGTGACCCACTGCACGGACGCACGCACAGGCCGGCACCTGGCCACGTTCTCGCGTCGGCCGGGGTCGAGCCTCTACACCCTGACCACTGAGTCTCCTCCTGTCCCCGCGTCCGGTCAGGTAGCAGCGTCGGGTCAGGTGTTTGCTGCTGCGTCCAGGTCTGGTCCTGAGTCTGCCCCCTGTTCGTGTCGCCTCCTGTCTCACGAGACTCTTCTGTGGCACCACCGTCTAGGCCACCCCTCCTTGCCCCGTCTTCGGGGCATGGCTTCCCGTGTCCTTGTCTCTGGTCTTCCCCAGTCTCTCCCTCCCCTTCCTTCGGGACCAGGACCTTCCTGTGTCCCCTGTGTCGAGGGGCGCCTCAGGGCTGCTCCTCACTCCTCCCAGTTTCCCCCGACAGAGGCTCCTCTGCAGACGCTTCACATGGACGTGTGGGGCCCGGCCCCCGTCCGTGGGCAGGGTCACGAGCGCTACTTCCTGTTGGTGGTTGACGACTACTCGCGTTACACCTCAGTCTTCCCCTTGCGCAGCAAGGGTGCTGTCACTGAGGTGCTGATCGACTGGATCCGCGAGGCTCGTCTCCAGCTCAGGAGGAGCTTCGGCTCGGACTTTCCTGTTCTGCGTCTGCACTCTGACCGAGGTGGGGAGTTCTCCTCTCGCCTTCTGCGAGACTACTGTCGTGCACAGGGGATCCGCCAGACCTTTACGCTTCCGGACTCTCCACAGCAAAATGGGATTGCTGAGCGCCGCATTGGCATGGTCATGGATGTCGCTCGTACGTCCATGATGCATGCGGCTGCCCCCCATTTTCTGTGGCCGTTTGCGGTTCGGTACGCGGCGCATCAGCTCAACCTTCACCCCAGGGTCTCTCGGCCCGCGATGTCCCCAGTGTTACTGTGGACGGGGAAGGTCGGCGATGCGTCTGCGTTCCGTGTCTGGGGATCTCGGGCGTTTGTCCGCGACTTGTCTGCGGACAAGCTGTCCCCCCGTGCTGCTCCCTGTGTCTTCCTTGGCTTCCCCCCTGACGCTCCAGGGTGGCAGTTCTACCACCCCTCCTCTCGTCGTGTTCTGTCCTCCCAGGACGTCACGTTCGACGAGTCAGTCCCCTTCTACCGCCTCTTCCCCTACCGTACTCCTTCCCTCCCCCCCCCACCGGACTTCCTGGTACCAGTTCCCCCCCCGGTAGACCCCCTCCCCCCTCAGGTTCCTGCCCCTTCAGGTGTGTCCCAGGTAGACACGGTCGAGCCAGTCGAGGTTGCTGCTGAGTCTGGTCCTGCTGCGGGTGCTGAGCCTGGGGGTGCTGCTGCTGGGGGTGCTGAGCCTGGGGGTGCTGAGCCTGGGGGTGCGAGGCCGGGGGGTGCTGAGTTTGGGGGTGCTGAGCCGGGGGGTGCTGAGCCGGAGGGTGCTACGTCAGGAGCTGCTGAGCGTGGGGGTGCTGGGCCTGGAGGTGCGGAGCCTGCTGGACCTGGGGGCTCTCCGGTTCTTCCGTCTCGGCGGGAGCCGCTCTCTCCACAGGAGCTGCGCGAGTGGTTTGCTCGCCGCTGGAGGCGTGCTGCTGGAGCTGGAGCTTCTTCGCCTGCTGAGGGTGCTGCCGGTCCCGGAGCTGCTGGGCCTGCGGGTCCTACTGGAGCTGGAGCTACTGCGTCTGGGGGTGCTGAGTCTGGAGCTGCTGAGCCTGGAGGTGCTGAGTCTGGAGCTGCTGAGCCTGGGGGGGCTACGTCTGGAGCTGCTGTGCCTGGGGGTGCTGAGTCTGGAGCTGCTGAGCCTGGGGTTTCTCCTGCTGCTACGTCTCGCCGGGAGCCCCTCTCTCCACAGGAGCTGCGCGAGTGGTTTGCTCGCCGCTGGAGGCGTACTGCTGGAGCTGGAGCTTCGTCGACCGTCGAGGGTGCTGGTGCTGCCGGTCCCGGAGCTGCTGGGCCTGCGGGTCCTACTGGAGCTGGAGCTGCTGAGGGTGTTGGTGCTGAGACTACTGCTGTCTGTCCTGGCGGTGGTTCTGCTGCTGGTGCTGCTGGAGGTCCTGCCGCAGGAGGTGTTGGTGGCGCTGGTGCTGTCGCTGAGGGTGCTGGTGCTGTCCCTGCTGAGTCTGGAGCTGCCGCGCGGCCTCGGCCGTACTTCGTTCCGCTCCTACAGCAGGTTCTTGGTCTATCTCCTTCGGTAGAGTGTCCACAGCCTGTCCATTCGCAGTCACTGTTGGAGCCTTCCTCTCCTCTGCCTGCTCCCTCTCC